TTCCCCATCCCACTGTGCAGCTTGGCCCCTTTCCTAGCAGGCGGCCTGGACGAGACTTTCCTTTTAACACCTGATGAAGCTGCTGACAGCCTGCTTCCAAGGGTCTTGCCTGACCTCTGGCACTTGCAAAGGTGAAATGGCCTCAACAGCAAACCTTTTTGGGACATCTCTCTGTGGACAGGTGGTAGCTCTGCTGCTCTCTGAAAAGGGAATGGACTCTTCCAGTTCTGGCCTTTACAGACTTCAACATAAACTTGGTAGGGCAGTGGGCTACAGATCTTTTGCTGCTGCATAAAACACCTACCACAATTGCTAAGGTTAAAATGCCATAAAAAGGGAATGGCTAAAGTGCAAGTTGGTATGACTTTGGTTCTGTACTGCTGGCTTTCAGAAGCGGGGTCATGCCTGAGAAGGACGGCCAGGCGCATCCATATTGTGCCGCTAGAGGTGAAATTCTTGGACCGACACAAGACAGCCCAGAGTGAAAGCCTTTGCCGAGAATGCTTGAATTAACCAGGAACAAAAGTCAGAGGATCAGCTACTGGGGCAGTTCCAACCACAAATCATGATGACTGGAATAGGATTTTTGGGGCAGTCTCCATCACGCAATCAGTCATCACATTTGGCTGCTCACTTACAGGCTGCTGCTTCACGCCTACCCAGAGATGGGTTCTCCTGCCAGTGGCAGGGGCTTGGAACTCCATGGCCTTTAATTTAAGGCCCCTTCCAAACAAAATGATATCAAGATATACAGAGGGGGAAAAAACAGGGAATCACAGCAGGTGAAAGTTCCCTAAATTGTATAGTCTGAGGACAACATTTGACAGTCAGTGTGCACCCCATATGTTTCATATAAAGAACAGTTATAATGCACTGAAAAGAGATCTTTAAAGGAAGTAAACACTTCCTCTATATTTGTTTTGGGGTTTGTTTTTTTTACTGTGCTCAGTAGCTGCTTTTCCCAAACCCCATTTTTCATTAGGCCAATTTTCTTCACTTTTCAGCTATTCCAATTAAAAATCTTCTCAGATCAAATGAAAAATAATTTAAAAAAATCCAAAATGAAAACTCAGTGAGCCACAAGCATATGATGATTTAGGGTTTAGCTGAAGCATTGTCTCACAGATTTTCACAGAAGACGTTTCTGCAGCGGACCTGAGGCAGTTGAAGATGTGGTTTGAGACAGAAGGAGAAAAATGACTGCTACTGCTGAACCCAGGACAGCACTCCAGCTCCTACTGGAGATCGGAGCCCAGAGGACCCAAGTAAGAAGCACAAGTACACCAAACACCACGAGCCTTCCTTGTCTTCGACATCTTACAAGGATCTGCAGGGGGCCAGCACTACACAGCCAGGGACCCCTTCTGCTCCAGACAGCCCCTTCACCCCCTTTCCTGGGCTGCTCTGCAGAGGGAAGTGAATCACTGCCCATAACAAGTAGATTTTCACTTATGCCATCTAGGTAGCCTGAGCAACGGAATGCTTTTTTGATTGAACCTAAGTTGCCCCAGGACATAAAGAACAAATTCTGCTTCAGAGCTGGGCCAGCACTCACAATTACACTTAATACCATGTCCTGAAGCCCCAACACTCATTGCCTGCTCTGGGGTGTCTCTGGAACTTCACTGCATGCACTCAGCCCAGCCCTGAATCTCTCCGCTGCACCTAGACATCTTTGCCCAATTTAGAAGCTTGTCCCAGGCTCCTTTCCTCCATTTTCATCCTTGAGGCAGCTCTCACCGCTCCATTTGGACTCACAGTTAGACACCCAAGCAGCCAGGAGTGACCGGCTGCCCCGATACAGAGGGGCAACAGAAACCACACCATAGCAGAGGAAGGAAAGAAGGGACCCCTCCTTACACCAGCAGTCCCCTCTGTGCACCTCATCTGAATCATAAAAGAAGATTTGAGGCAAAGATGCTTCTAAAGATCTTCCACATCCAGAGCATGAGGGCCCACCAACACAGCCTCCCTTTTAGTGCCCTTACTGTTGTTTGAGGCACTGATGACACGCTGCAGCTTGTGTGACACAAGGAATTGGGAAGAGGAAGCAAGGGATTTCCCCTGCATGAGAAGCCCTCTGGCTCCACAGAAATCAGAAACAGTGAAGAATGGAAAACCAATGGTGATTGATCGGGCGTTTGGGCTTTTAAAAGATTTAGAACGTGCCGGTCCCAAGAACACAGTGGTATAAAAGAAGTGCTGTAGGAATGCTGTTGTACACCCCATGCCCCCAGGCATCCGTGACCCAGACAAACTGGAAGAGGTACTTTTGTGTTGAGGGGGTTATTCTTTTACAAATTTGTCCAGTCACCTTTTGAATCCATCTAATGCTTGGTCTCCACGTGCTCCAGCCACGAGCTCCACCCCTCAACCCCTCTTCTCCTAGTCCTCCTTGAACTCCTTCCCTCAGTTTTTGCTAACAGAGCTGAAGACTTGACGAAGTTTAATCCTTTCCTCCTAAACTTCTAGGAATCATCAAAGAATACAGTAGGACATCTGTGCAGGAAATGACGACTGACCTTAGAGGTAGAAGTAGAGGCAACTGGAAAATTCCTGAAATTCACTGGAATGAAGGAACTGGAAAAGTATCAGCCAAACATTTGTTGTTCTGTTTTCCTGAAGGCAAAATGGACTTCCTGAACAAAAAGAATCAAAAGTAAGGCACGCAAGGTCAAGTCTTGCTTGCAGGAATGGCAGTCGGGGCACTATGTGTATCTAACTGTCCATGCTTGGATTGAGCGAGTCAGTGATCAGAGTGCTGCAGAAGTGGGGCTGCTGCTGCACCCTGCAAAGCACAGGACTGCAGAGAAATGTCTTGCAAAACTGGGGAAGGGGAGGGGGAGAACGGAGAGGAATTGCTGCATCAATTGTGAGACAGCTGGGAATGCAGAGCAAGGAAAAGACTTGTGGGGACTTCCTGCTTCCATCCCAAATTTCTGCATGTAGCATTTGTCAGTGAAGTTGGCAGGAATAACAAAGGGACAGCAGTAAGGTAAATCCCAGGAAATATTTTCAGAGTGCAGGGGGGTTTCCAACACAGCAAGGAAGATTGCAACTCATATGGAAGCAAACACAGACCAAAGCTGTGTCCTGTCAAGAAGCAAATCATCCTGGTGAAGTCCAAAGAAAAGGCCAGAACAGGACTGAAGATAAGCGACTGTATATTCTGCATAGGAGGAGGATTCTAGCAGCTCTCTGCGACGACAAAATGAAATCAGCAATACAGAAGAGAATTTTTGGGTGGGAATGGCTTGTGAGACAGCCAGTGGCAGAATTGGACTGAGCTGTGAATGAACATGGTGGAACCAACATGACGAGCAGGTGCGACCAGTGCTCAAGTCACAAATATAACTTTGAAGGAGGAAATGCGGAATCCTGTGTGTGAGGAACTTGTAAGGATGAACAAGTTTTGAAGATGGACAAAGACCTATGTTAAAAAAGCCTCAGGTTAGACACACTTGGCTTAGCAAGAAGATGAAATACATTAAAAGAAAGACTCCACTAGAACAAACCAGGCAACAGAGATCCTTCCAGACACTCTGGATTCATAAATCCAAGGCAGCCACAGATTTATTGTATCCTCAGAGCATGCAACCGTTAATGATGCAGCAGAGTTCAAGCCCTGACCCCAGGGATTGCAGAAATCTGCCTGGACTATATAACAAGAGATTTCCTCAACTGCTCAAAGCCACCAAGAGGTTTTCTCTACAGGCCACTGCTAATCTGCAGCCTGTGTGATGATTACGGGGAAAGAGCCTTTCCTTTAACACCAATGCAACGAGCAACTTCAAGGGCTGTGGGAAAAGCATTATTAGCATAGGCAGCACCTAATACTGATAGAGCTTCCTCTCTCCTTAGCTCACGACCAGGAGGCACCTCTGCGTGTGGAGAATACTTAAGTAGTCAGTGAAGAGAACAAGATGCTGCTGTTGTGGCTGGCCAACAGCCCCTTTATGGCAGACCTTCTAAGCCAGAGCTACAGATACTGCGTTGGCCCAGGTGTCCCAGCCTGCACATAGGCTTAGGCAGGCTGCGATGTGGTGGAGGTGTGATGTCCCACTTCAGTCAAAGTTCTTTTTCCCTCTCCTTCAGATTTTATGGACCCTCTTCCTGTTCTATGAATACAGCCTATAATGTGCCAACGTCATCCCCAGGGCCTTGGGGTTGCATCACAGATGTACTGAGCAGCCACAACTGCCACGTGAATTTCCTAGCAGCAAGTAAGAACAGAAAGCCAGAAGCGGTCAGTTTGGCTGTTTGCGTGACTGGATTCGGACCCATTAGTAGATTTAAAGACTGCAATTAGGGACCAACTCAGAAACAGAATTCCTGGTTACGAGGCACAGACATTGCAGCCCTTAGAGATGGCTTTAATGCTTGGTGCTTTCTTGGGCAGGTTTGCTAAAGCTAACTGCAACCAACCACAAATCTTTCCCCAGAGGCATCAAAGTCCCAGCTAGCTTCAAGGGATTTCAAAACCCACCACAAACAGATTTCAGCTGCCTGCTTTCTCTGAAGATCTTGACACTAAGGGATGTTTTTAGGGGATTCAGGACAATTCAGAACAAATTTGAAACCATCTGGACTTTCAGAGGCCTTTCTTAGTCAGGAATTTGTTTGCAGTGGTACGTCAGACATCCAAAAGGACTGTGGAGTCTAAAAGTGCTCTTGAGCGGCTGGAGAATGCTCTGATGCTGGCCTGGATTCTCTGTGTTTTCCATGTTGGGGTTTTGGAGACCCTTGTGGGGTTCTTGTTTTCACAGTGGGGACGTGCAGCACGAGAGTGTGGCAATGAATTCTGCAGACCCAGGCCAGCAGACAGACACCCACCGTCCGGAGACAAGACAGAGCCTGCAGCACAAAGTAGTTCTGCAGAAACTGAATAGGCTAGAAGTGGGTCCGCAGAGCAACAAGTTTTAAAGAAACTACATTATGGGAGAATAAAGACTAATTCAATAACAACCCCTTGTTGTCAAACTGCTGAGATTTTTCCTTGGGCTTTGGGAACAGAAGCCAGGGCACTTACTCTACGGTCAGCTGAGATACTACGCCAAAGGCGGTGAAGCCAGCACTGGCAAAGCTCTCCTTGTACTGGCTCATCTTGATGGCATCCAGCCATTCATCCACAGTGTTGAAGCTGGTATAATCTGGGATTGTGCAGTCAAGTAGGGGGAGGTTCATCCTGAAACACAGAAATGGGGAATGAGCAGAACAAACAGCAGAAAGCACATGTATTTCTGCACCCTCCGTCAGCTGAAGAGATCTGGACTAGCACCATTATTGCACTGCACCGTATTATGAAGTACCAATCAGAAAACAGTCTAATTCAACTGAGGGAAAGATGGTGTAGAGCATCAGAGAAGTCTTACTAGATCAGTTTGTACAGGAGAGTTAGAAGCCTTCAGAGATGATGGGATGCAGCCCTAAAATCATGGCTGCAAGAGGGGAGAAAATACGTTCTCTGGGTGTATCTCCACCCAGCCCAAGGAAACATCATACTGCTCGATGAGGCTTTATTTGCCTCCACTGAATGCAAGATTAAGCTACCAAAACAACCACACTCAGCCAGCATCATATGTACATGAAACCAATGTGCTCCTTTATAACTGCAGTTAGAGTCACTGTCCAACCCAGTGAGCTGTGGTCACCAGATCTAACCTGTCCAAGAAGAGGGACCAGAGTGACCTTGACTTCTTGGAATGCCCTTCCTATAAAGGACTAAATATCACTGGGCAAGCTGCCTCTGAAATAACTAGCCTAGAGAGATGCAAAGATGGTACCCACCAGGACACAAAGGACAGCAGATCTGCAAAGAGAAGCCACAGGACAAGAGGAAGACAGAAATACACACCCAGAGGAAAGAGGTGCCATGGCTTTCAGGCTGTTAGGATTTCGCATCAGTTTAGCTGAGGTGTTGACAATTTGCCCAGATTTGGGTCTGTGGTTTCCATCTTTCTGCCAACAGTCAAGCATTAGCTGGCACTGGGCATCTGGACAATCCATAGGTGGTGGCAGCCGATAGTCCTGCTCAATAGCATTTATCACCTACCAGATGAGAAAGAGAGATCAATACAGTGGCAATTAAACCTATTTAATTCCTCATGTTCCTTTTCCCGGACCTTGAGCATGACTGGCATGGCCAGACCTACTGCAGCGGGGCTGACTGCCATCTCAGCCACCACCACATACTACTGTAGCTCCCAGCCGGCTCCACGTCATGTTATCCAGTGAGGAGATGATGGCCTTGTTCAGCTGACACGCAGCCTTGCTGACTACGTGCCATGAGCCATGCCCATAAGTGTCCTGATCCAGGGAGAGCATCCCCGCTACCTTGACAAGGATGTGTAAGCCTGCAGCGTCAGGCACGAGTGAGCCAGAAAGAAGGGTTTGTATTTTTGGACAGGTACACAGCCCAACACAACAGCTCACTGGGAGGAGAGCATCCCTGTCCAGCGAAGGGTCTGTTTGTGAGTTACAGACAGGGGAAGCTGCCCCTGTGTTTTCCTTTCTCCAGTGGTGCTCTCCACTCACTCCCGCCAACAACCCAGTGACAGTCATGCCACGAGACAGGGCTGGGTGCACTGAGCCAGCAGTACATGTTGGATCTCCCCACAGCCCTGTGCACATGCAAACTGGAGCACGCAGTGGGGAGCACCAAGACCTTGGGCAACAGAGCCAGACACATGACAACTTTGCTACAGCCCCTAGAGAAGGGTTGCAGCACACCTTGCCTAAGCCATGCCGCAGCTCTGCGGGCCAAACACAAGGCGGCTTTGGCTGCTGCGTGTTTGCTCTCTCCTTACTGCATCACACAACATGGGAAAATGTCTGGTCTTGCAATGTTTGGTGGAAGAAGCACATGCACAAGGGCTAGAGGCTCTTCTTCAAGAGGAACCTCCTGCAGCCCTCCATCCTCTCTACAATCAAGGAGGATGGAGCTGCACAGCTTCTTACACATCACAGTCCAAGCTTGCCACGGGAAATTCAATGACCCTCTAGTAGAAGATGACCTTGACCATGGCAGGGGGGTTGGACTAAGTTATCTTTAAAGGTTGTTTCCAACCCAAACCATTCTGTGACTCTATAACAAACTTTTACCAAATGCCTGTGGTCTCCTGTAGATGAAGATGTGCTTGCTGCTCCAGGAGCTCTCAGCTCAGGGGTAGCATTTCCTT